CTAAGGACTTGTAGAACAAAAACAATACACTGAACAGCAGCACGAACATGAGTCTGTGTGAGCAGATGATGAACACAGCAGCATGAGATCAGCAGCATGGGATCAGCAGCACATATCAACAATCAAGTGTTATTACAGTGATTATTCAGGTTAGAGATTCATGAGTCTAAGAGCTTCAGGGTAGAAGTTGTTCCTCAGTCTAGTGGTTCTACACTTAATGCTCCTCAACCTCCTTCCTGAGGGGAGCAGGGCAAAAAGTCTGTGCTGGGTGAGTGGGGCCCTTCGTGATGCAGATGGTCCTCTTCCTGCATCTGGAGGTGTAGATGTCTGTGATGGTGGGGAGACTGACTCAGTCTCCTGTGCAGCCTTCACCACTCTCCTTCACATCTTAGATCCTTATATACTGCTTCTCTTTATACTTTATATTTTTGCTAGTTTTGGGTGTAACTGGGACCTTAAGTACACAATTTTGTTCCACCTCATGTGATGAGAATGACAAAGAACATTGATGTCTAAGGACACAGCTGGTCTTCTGAGTACTTCACTGCTTGTCCCACAGCTCCCTCTAGCGGTCACCGCCGACTCCACTGAGTTTGCTCAGAAGGCTTCATCACATCAGGCTGAGTGGGGTACAAACAAAGGAAACGACACCGTGTCTGAAATGGAAATCACATTTATTGTATGTTCTGACGTTGATTCACTTAAAACTTGACCCTTCTGAGTACAGCTCAGTTTGTTCCCATCTGCATCTTCCTCCCATTTCATCGCTGCGGTCCTATTTTAACGCACTCATACATGAACACGCACACACAGGTGTCTGCACAGAGCAGCAGGTCGCACCAGCCGAGGCGTCGTCGCCTCCTCCTCCTCGCTGCTTTAACGGCCACCAGGCGGTCTGCGAGTGCGGGGGGGGGGGGGGGGGGTGCCTCCCTTTGTGAAGTGGTCCCCATTAAAATCTGCCTATTGATACCAGGACCAGAAAACAAACATACAAAAGATTTCAGTCACTTGACGGGCCTGCAACATCTCGACCCAAGTTGTCAGCTCGGTGAACGGGTACTCTACGATTCACCTCGCAGGAATACAGAAACACACAGAGCAAGAAAAATACAAAGCATCAAATGTTGAAATCAAACCACAACAAAGGAATTAAGATCACTTATTCCTGAACTAGCTCGCTAACAGAAACGCTGACAGCTCTACTAGCACCAGCAGTCTCTTTAAGTATATTATACGTACATATAGTCCATAAACAAGGGGGGGTGGGGGGTATTTGGATCGAACAGTCGTGTTTCAAGCATGAGAAACATTTGAACAAGCTTTAAAAGAAGTTGACCCTTTCTTTGATGATTCACCTGCTGGTACGTCAGGCTTCAGGATGTTCACAACTCAGATTTGTGTTCATGTTTAAAATGGGACGCTATGACCCGAACAATGTCCCAACCACGAGAAAAGGAACTGGTTCAGTTCACGGTCCGGTGTGAGGTCCAACGTAAACAGCTTTTACAGAGACAGGAAGTAAATGGACTCTTTGGCACGTCCTAACACGACGGGATGAATTGAAAGTCCTGACTGGACTTCCAACAAACAGGTTCACACATCTGTTCTTTTTGAGGCCCTGCAGCCATGATGGATATTTTTCTAACAGACTTTTAGTGTTTGCAGCTCCTTTCCACAAAGACTGTCGGTGTTTGGCCATGGACTCAAAACAACACCCAATCTATTTTTAGTGTTTTTCCCAACATCTGTCTCACTTCATCTTGAACTGTTGCCATTAAACTATAATGATGTCATTACACTGTGACTTCTCAGTGACCTCATTCTTCAACATCATGTGGACGGAGAAAAGATGATTTGTTGCAAAAATGATCCGTAGTAGTGTCGACGGAGCTGGAGACGTCTTTCAGAGGTGGCACCAAGTCATTGTTTTGCAAGTCTCAAGTAAGTCAAGTCTTTATCCTC